TTTGTCCCAAAATCCACATACCAACAACAAATTCACTTGAAAGGGAAAAAAAAAAAAAATGATGCAAATTGGTGTGTAAATAAAATTACACCCTCAAATTCTTTGGTGAAAGATGACACTGATCCAATGGCTGAGAATTTCTTTCACAAAATCCAGATTGCTGAGATAAAAAACACTCGGCTAAACTCGTTTCCACAAAAATTGTCCAAACCTGTCGCTCAGAGAAGAAAACAAACGAAGGTTATCATTAGTAAATGTGGGAATTATCTTGAATGCTAAACATGATGCAGCTATAACTATTACAAAGCCGATTCTAATGTATCACGAGCATTTATCAATATATCGTGCATTTTTCATTAGAGGCTAAAGATAGTCCTCTAACGAGCTCCAAGAACAAAATAAAGACTTTTGATAGTCCCCCAAAAAACTTGCATTTCTCCTAATAGAGGAATCTAACAGCAACAATATCATATGCTCTCTCTCGTTCAAACACTCAAACAAATATGCTTCATACATTAACGAGAGTCGGATGACTGGTATTCTTGAGGGGAAAAAAAAAAGAACAATTTATACAAACTCTATATTTATTATTCTTCATCAACCATCATTCGCTTCATACACACATCGTTAGCAAATCACACTATCACTCCTCATGTCAAACATTCGTGTAAGAGTACATACTGTAGTCCCCCAAAAAACTCGCATTTCAGCTAACCGAGTAAGTTGGCAGCAACAATACCATAAGAGCTCTCGTTCAAAACACTCAAACACATACTCATCAGGTTAAACCTTCTTGTAGGAGTGCATTCTGAATTCCCACTAACAAAACTCGCATTTCTACTAATAGAGGAAATTACCAACAATGAGATATCAAAAGCTTCCATGTTCGAAACACTCGAACACATACGCTTCATACATAAATGAAAGTGGGATGAACCGTATTCTCGCAAAAGAAACAATTTATACAAGCTCTATACCCATTATTCTCCATCAACCATCAATCTCTTCACAGACACATCAAACAGACAATCACTGTCCTATGAAATGAACAACACAGATTCTAATCATATAATCCAATCTCAAATCAAGAAACAAGAAATAATAAAGAAATGGAAAGAAAATTCACTGATAATTCATACTTATTAAAGCAAAGGAAATACCCAAATCAAGCCCAAGAATTATCAAAGGCTGCAGAAGTAATCGCCTGTGAGAACTCCTGAAAACTGATCCTCCCATCACCATCAGTGTCGGCCTCCTTAATCATCCCGGTCAACTCCTCCGCAGTTAGCGCGTGGCCCAGCCGAGCCATGGAGTGAGCCAGCTCGGCCGCCGTTATATACCCGTTGCCGTCCCTGTCGAACATCTTGAAGAGCTGCTTCAGCTGCTCCTCCGTGTAGGGAGACTTCTCCGGCAGGAGCTCCGGCGCCACCAGCGCCACGAACTCCGAGAACTCGACCAGCCCGTTGTTGTTGGTGTCGGCCTTCTGGATCAGCGCGTCCAGCTGGTCGGGGCTCGGCTTCAGCCCCAGCGAGCGCAGGAGCGAGCCGAGCTCCAGCTCCGTCAGGCTGCCGTCGTTGTTCCGATCGAACGATCGGAAAATCTCGCGCAGCTCGGCTAGCTGCTCGTCGTCAAGCTTCGCGGCCGCCTCTTTGTTGGCGCTCATCCCCTTTCTTCTTTCTTTTTTCCTTTTTTTTATGAATAATTATTGAATTCTTGAAAAAACCCAGAAACTGATTCGAATTTTCCTGTCCTCAATCTTTTTTTTTTTTCATAAAATACTGAAACTTGCGTCACTTTCTAGGCTTATTTTCTTTGTTTTTTGGGGGGGTTTATTGATTAAAGATCCGCCATTTTTGAGGGGTAGCGAGCTCCTGTGAAGAGTGCTGCTGCTAATCAATCGGATCTTAGACTATAAATCATCATTTTCTTTGTGGGGAAGAAGAATAGGCAAGGTTTGAAATAAAGTGCTTGTCATCGCTCTACTTATGACGATTCATTCTTTTTATTTATTTTTGTTAATAATTCGGACTTTAGTTGGGAATTGGGATATAATTAAGGGGAAATGGTTCGTCGGAATCAGTAACCGTTAAATCATCATGTAATATCTCGTGTAACGGGACAAATTCAATAAGGTTTGTAACCGTTAAATCATCATGTAACCATCGTAAATAGTTAATCTAACGGTTATAAACTCCGATGGAATAGTTCGTAAAAGGACTGTAAATCCTCCATTAGTTATATGATATATTTAAAAAAAAAAAAAATCTCTTTCGAAAGAATGAGATCAAAGACTAAAATTTGTTATTTATAAGAAAAATATAATGATTAAATTTATTTTAATATAAGTAAATAAATATTAATTAATGTTTTATTAGAAAATATATAATATATATAATTAAATTTTATATTTTAATTGTGCTAGTGAATTTGTAACAGAACCAAATGAGATGAAATTAAGAGTATTTCCTATGATTTTTATTATTTTTCGGATTATTCGTTTAAATGCAATAAATCTGGAATGAATAAATATAAATAAATATGAAAATACATGTGATCAGGTGTCTATTTTTTTTTATCGTACCAAGATGTACCCAATTGAACAAAAAATTCCACAAAATATAACATTTAGTTTATGTTTTTTTTTTTTTTTCTCTCAAATCAATAACATAACTAAAACAAATCATTATTATATATTATAATAAACATTACTATTCATCTACTAACATAGTTTAAATCTTTTATTAATCAGTATTATATTATTTTTATATTAAACTAATTTTAATTATTATATTCTTATATCACCTTTTCTAAATACAATTTTTTCGTTTACCATTTTATGTCACTATTTCGAATAGACAAAATATTAAAAAAAAAAAAAAAAAAACTATATATCCATTTAGGTATATAAATTTCATTTATTTTGGAGATTAATGATATTATCATAATATTATGTTTAGTGGTATCATACATTCATACTATCATCTGTTTACGGTTTACCACTTGTCTTTTTTTCTACTTTAATTATTAATTCCTTAATATTTCATTTAAGTTTTTTATTTTTTTTTTTTATTTTTTTTTTTTTTTTTTTTTTTTGGGGCGCTCTTGTTAAGTCAACTGATGAACAGTCAAACGGTACCCTTTTGAAATAGAAAATGATTAGATAAATGTCTATCATTTGACTATTTGAGTCAAATTTCCCTTTTTTATTTGTTTTTCACCAACTCTTTATTACGATTTCACTAAAACTTATAATCGACTGTAATTCATTATTTTTCAAATTGGTCAAAACCCGGCCAATCCGACTTTGAACCAGTCGACCTGGACTGGTCAACTGAGTTTACCTTGTCCTTTTATATTTTTTTATTTTTTTAATAATTTTCTTATAAACAAATAAAAATTACGTAAATATATTGATATAGTAAATATTTATTGTGAGATGTAATTTTTTTAACATTTTGATGTACAAATTTTATATACAAAACAATTATTTTTGTTATTTTTATGTATATTTATAAATCAAAAATACTATATATATAATTTTAAAAATTTTAAAATTGATTATCTAGTTTAGTAATTGACTCGGTGACCCAAATACCTGACCGAATTTCTGGCCTACTTTAAAAACTATGGTATAATTGCTTTTGTACTAACGTCGACATTGATCATGCAGCCGCTTCGTTTTATACCTCTCTTTTTAGTTTTTATCAATTAATGAGAAATTCCAATACAATAATAATAATAATAAATGTTTTTGGGAGGGTCATGCAAGACCATATACTTCAATCAATAACATAGTTAATAATCATAAAATATTATAAAATATAAAATAAGAATATGAAATAGCCATAGTTTTTTTTTTTTTTTTTTCGAATCAGCTGAGTTCACTCCGAAATCTGAAAGGGTTTGTAGACAATCTGACAATAAAATCAGTGAAGCCCAAAATTGACTTGACTGACCCAAGGCATTGATTTGAAATCATCCGATTTGAACCGGTATTTTTTTCAATAAATATTTTAAAAATAAAATTATGTATATATAGTCATGTAGCAAAACTTTGTGATGAAATACTATATTATCAGATCTCGAAGTATAAGATCAACACATAAATTATTTGTTTTTTTGTTACTATTATGTATAAGCAATATAATATAATAGTTTTAAAATTTTTGAAATTGTATGTCCAATCCAATAATTGACCCAGTGACTCACCAGTTACTTGAAAATATATATATGAATTGTGAAAAATCACAAAAAAAAAATAAAAAATAAAAAATTATGAGATTAATCTCGGATATTCTGTAAACAAAAGAGTGGATGCCGATTAAAGTTGTTCTTAAAATGGGCCTTCGGCCCATGTTTGTCCAAGTATAAGATCCGTAACCCACTTCTACAGATATTGATCTCAATCGAACGGCCCATTCCAATTTCCAAACCCACTCTCGGCCCAATAATTACTGTCTGCGTTGTTAGATCAATGACTCGCAAAACACGAAAACTCAGAGCTCTCTTCGTAACTCACAAGTCGCCTGAGGCTTCACTTCCACTGATCGTCCGCCATGGCCATGCAAGCTGGAATAGGATTATCGAGGATAGCCCTCGTAATCGGAGCAGGTATATATATGTATTGTCATGAATTTAGCACTCCTTGTTTGGATCAGTGATTCGCACTCTCCATTTTTTTCCTTTTTTTAAGGTGTAATTTTGTGTATGAGACTTGTGAATTTTTCGCTGCGGTTTTTGATTCAATTAGGTTATACGGGGACCATACTGTTGAAGAATGGGAAATTATCAGATGTTTTAGGTGAGCTGCAGGTATTCAGCTTCTCTTCTTTTTTTCTCAAGTCAGAAGTGTGGCTTTGTGCGTTTGAGGTTTTCCTAAGCTTAACGATTTAAGGTTTTAAGTGGAGATAATTATGTGATGGGTTGTTTTCTCCTTGCCCGATTTTCGAAATACGTGCAATTTCAGTATATATTATTGATTTTGGCAGCATCACTTTGAGCTCTTCTAGATTTGCTATTTGGATAATCCTGCTCAAATTGAAGTTCTCGAGCTATAATTATGTGGATGATATGTTTTTTGTATGTCGGGTACAAGTCGAATATAAGTTAATGGATATGAATATGCGGTGTTTGTTGGATTCGTTTTGACAGAGTTTGGTCAAAGGCATGGAGAAATCGGGTGAGATTGATGGTGAATCTGGTTACTCTGATGCCATTGCCGCCCAGGTATCTTCTTGGTTACTGATATAAGCTTTCTGCCCTGGTGTTGTTGACAAGTAATTGTTTAGCTTTGAATGAAATTATTTGCTTTGTTTTATTTGATCACATTGAATTGTGTGCTTAAGCCCATCATGTCACACTGCAGAGAAATGAGATACCTTTGTTTATCATTCTACTGTTATTGAATTCTTGTATCTACTGACTTAAGTCGTGTTATGGGAACTATGAGATGCTTCTATGCATACATAATGTTCGATCTGGGAGAATTTAGTTACTGCAGAAGTGGCCAAGGGTTAGAATATATTTTCTCAATTTCTGTTGAGTGTCAACTAAAATGTATGGATCTCTCTTCTTACTTTTTTTTTTTTTATTGTGCGATCAATTGCTCTGAATATTTAGCGGACACACAAATCACACACACACACACACACACAATTAATGAACAAATTTGGGAATCCTGGATGGAAGGATTTCAGGTGTAATGCTCTGTGGGCCCTTGACAAAAATCTTGTTGTGCAGATTTGATTTGGTTTATTCTCCCACAGGTTCGTCGACTAGCCATGGAGGTTCGCCAGCTAGCTTCATCAAGGGAGATCACTGTTTTGAATGGGAACTCTGGCCAAAGTCAGTATCTTGTATTTGTGTGTGAATATGGGGTTATAGTTTTCTTTGTAGTTATCATCTCCACTGGTTCCTTTCACAGGTAACTTGACATCTCTAATAGTGCCGGCTGCTTCTTTAGGAGCCCTGGGTTATGGATATATGTGGTGGAAGGTAGGCATGCATTTTATACGCTTCTGGTTGCCATAGATTATTCCAATCTTGTTGTTGTTTTCTTTGAGTATTGTATTTCTTGCTACCAAATAGGAAACTGATTTATCTTTCTCATCATTAGGGTCTTTCATTCTCGGACCTGATGTATGTAACAAAGCGCAACATGGCGAATGCCGTGTCAAACTTGACAAAACATCTGGATCATGTCTCCGAGGCTCTAGCTGTAAGTATACATTATGTTGTCATAAGCAATGACAGCAGTTTGCACGATAGTGCTTCCAGAGCTGTCCCATGATGTTTGTCTAAAACGAGTAAAGATGCAATTTATTTACCTTGTGTTTTCTAGTTAACAACTTTTGTTATTGATGTATTTTCTATCTTATATTAATTGCCATCCGAGTGGTCCTTCTATTTATGAGATTTCTTTGAAGCTTGAATATTTGTATGATTTTCCCTCAGGCGGCAAAAAGACACTTGACTCAGAGAATTGAAAACTTGGATGGGAAACTGGACGAGCAAGTAGAAGTTTCTAAGTTAATTAGGAATGAGGTACATGAAAATTACTTGTTTCATTATACAGGTTCCTAATTTATTTATTTTTCCCGAGTAATGTACAGCAGGTTTGGGTCATTATCTCGTCAGCGTCATTTGCCTTCAGTAGATATAGTTGTGGTTCTCATTATCTATCAATTTCAAAGGCCAGATTATGCTGAATTTGTTATTCTAGATGTTTCTATTTATTCATTTTTTTTTTTTAATCTTGTGAAACAGGTGAATGATGTCCGTGATGATCTATCTCATATTAGCGTTGATCTGGATGAACTTCAGAGGCTGGTTTCTGGTTTGGTCAGTTTATAATTTGGAAAAAACACTGCACTTACTTTTACAACCTTGACTTACACAATCCACATTCCTGCTGTGTAATCATTTGTAAGCATGTGCATGACACAACATCTGTATTGAAAACTACATGCTGGCCTTTGCTTTGCTTAGCTTGTTTTTAGTTATGTTGGTTAAAGTAATCAATGAAACCACCATTTTTCCACATTGTCAATAGTTTTTCCACATCTGTTAGTTTTTTTTTTTTAAAAAAAAATAAATAAATTATGTCTCTAATCAGACTGCGTTGATGAACAAGTAAATAGATTTTTCAGCTGATGTAGTGTCTGAATGCTAACACAACTTAAGAGCACCGGGCTGCAATTGCTTCAAATTCTAAGACCTTTTTTTTTGTTCTCTTCTACGGTTTCTTTTATTTTTTAAGTGTCCTTCAGTACTAATCTAAAAATGCATTAAAAGCCATCAAACCTGAAATGTAGGAAAATTCCAGGGTAACAGCATTATTGTAGTTAGTATAAGATCGACTCAGGTACTGAAGAACTTAGTCATGGAGCTTTATGTTTTGATTGATGATTAATCATCTTTATATACCTGCCTGATGTATTTGCACATGTATCTCTTCTTGTCCCGGCTTCTCTCTTTTTCTGCTCCTTCCTCTGATGTTACACTTTGGTTCCAGGATGGCAAGCTGCTCTCTTTAGAAGGCAAACAGGTGAACTACTTATATTATATGTGAACTGAAATATGTCAATCATGCCTCATGCAGACACTCCTTTATATATTCTAGACTAAGCAAGCTTTAACTGCATCGTGGGCCAAATATATTCTAATATTCAAGTAAATCTTGACATACGAGTATTCCACAATGGTTTTCCTGCAGGAGCTTGCAAATGCTGGGGTGATGTACCTGTGTAGCATTGTTAATGGAAGGAAGGTCAAGATGCCGGAGAAGATTCAGGTACGGAATTATTTGATCTCTCTTGTTTTCGTAATTCTTAGATGAAACTAATATATGATTTATATTTGAGTTATTTTTCAAGTCTTTAATGCTTGTTTCATGACTAATTCTTTAATAAAAAACCCATACGAGCATGTTTGTGTCCGTCATTTTTCCAGCACCACTAACCTAACCTTACTGACATGAGCCTCAAGTCCTCACCTTCAAAGACCAAGTCATCGTTTTCGTTATTTTGCCTGTTTTTTCCTATGTGCAAATCATTTATGGCAATCGCCAATATCTAGTTAAATTGCAGTTAAAGTGCTTGAAATAATTATAATATCTAGTTGTCACTAGATGCACTTCAGTGGGGGTTAGAAAAAAAGGCGGTGAGTCGTGCTCCTGTCATACAGATGGCCTATACTGGTGGCTTATATCTGATATGTCTGTCACTTAGAGTTAAGGGTGCATTCCAAATGGATAACTTATTATATTTTTTTTCATAGAGAATTATGTTAAGCGTGAAATGTTACGAACATCGCATCGCAGATGGAAAAGAAGAAAGATTTTCTCTTTAACAAAATCCAACTTTAAAAATGCGAACTTGTTATTCATGCGTAACTCGTCAATGTTTTTGTGCAGGATCAACTTAAAATTGTTGGAAACTCGGCACCAACTGTAATGGTAAACTCATCTGATTTCTATACTTCCATTTTCTGCTTTTTTTTTTTTTTTTGCTTGGCTATGAATCTGGAGAAAAAGACGTAACAATATGAAAGAGACGAATCCTACACACTTTTATTGATGATTACAATATTTTTGCAGGGTCTGAAAGAGATTGCTGATTCTCTTCTATTAACAGATGGAAATGTGAAGAACATGGACTAAAATTATGTGGTACACTCGGTTTAAATGTGTTACGTACTCGTTGGATATACAGTGCTTTCAAGTTTTTCTTTTTTTTTTTTTTTTTTTT